CATGGGGCTGCCCCTGGAAAGTGTTCGGAGCCTACAATTAGTCCAGAATGCTGCCGCACGAGCGATACTGGGTGTACCTAGGTACACCCACATTACACCTATCCTCCGCGAGCTGCACTGGCTTCCTATTGGTCTCCGAGCACGATTCAAGGTGCTGGTTATTACCTTTAAAGCCGTACATGGCTTAGGACCCAGATATCTAAGGGAGGGAGAGGGAGGGAGAGAGAGAGAGAGCTTAAGTGCTTGGCTAAGGAGACAGACGCCAGCGCTGCGCCAGCCGTCCCTTCGTACCACACACACACGCTTTGCACGGAGCCCTTTCTAAATGCGGTGCCCACTGCCGTCCCCGGTGGGAAGCAGCCCAGGCAATGACGACCTTCTGGAACGCAGAGCCGGCGCGATAATTAACGATAATGCCAGGTTGCACAGCCCGGCGGTAGGAGAGCACACAGCGAGGTGAATTTTTACACCAAACACCACTGTGGCGTAATTATCGCAAGGCTGGCCCTGCTCTTAAGCTGAGCCCCGGGCAGGAAAAACAGGTCCCGACCTGGAGGGATCCCAGATTGTAATCAGATTGCCGGGATCTGTCATCGGCCGGCTCTCAACCGCTTGATTCCTGGGCATAACACATGGTCCGGCCTGCATCCGCCAGCCTCATGCCATGAGGTTATAATGGGTCCTGTGTCGAAAACAGACCAGAGTGGATTCCGGATCCCGTACGCTGCGACGAGGCCGGGCATCCTTGGCACGCTGTGCACGTATGCGCACGCCACCGCCCTGCAACACTCAGCTGCTCAGCTGTGTGCACAATTGTCCCGTATCCCTCAAAAAGCGGTGAGCGCGGGTGGGCCGAACGAGCCGCTGTTCCGGTACGGTGGCCGCTGCTCCCAGCTATCAACCGGTACGCTCATACCGGAGCGAACCGCATGGAACCCACCACTGAAGCAGATCTGGGTACTTTAGACCTCCGACTCTTTAGCTGACCCTGCAGGCTCAGTACACTTATAATTAAAAGAAGAACAGAGAAAAGGGACCTTGGAGGTCTTCTAGTCCAACCCCCTGTTCAAGCAGGAGACCCACCAAGATTCCTTTCTCAGAGCACTAAGCAACATTTGCTTTTTCAAGCCCAGCATGGCTGCCTGCATGTTTTTCCTTTCAATTTACCTGTGTGCGTGCCAAGACACCTTCATAGCTCTGTCGGTTTGGCCCGGCACTGGGCCTCACTGTGGGGACGGTCATGCGTGCTGTAGCATGTAATTCACAGGGGGGTGGGGGGCAAAGGATGCTAAAAATTATAGCCGCATTTATTGTCTGAATGCACTGGGTAGCAGGTGGCTCTGTCGGAATTGCTTCGCAGATCACAAGCAGCTCTTTTAAGGTGCTGCGTTTCCAGGAGACCGATAGGCCAGATTGCAGGTAGTCCTCGACTTACGACCACAATCGAGCCCCCGCATTTCTGTTGTTAAGTGAGACATGTGGTGTCAAGTGAATTT